TATGGATTGAATTGTGCCCCCCAAAAAGTTACACCGAAGTCCTAACCCTGTAATATGACCCTGTTTGGAAATGAGCATTTTCTTTTGTTACGTTAATGAGGCCCTACTAGAGTGGAGTGGGTCCTAAATCTACAGGTAATCCCTTCTAAGTGGAGTCTTACAAAAAACCAGAATAGACACCGACACAGTGAGAAGGGATCATGTGAGGAGCAAGACAAGGAATGCCTGAGGCTACCAACAGGGAAGGACCCTCCCTTAGAGCCAATGCCCTTATTTGGATTTCTAGACTCCAAAATGACGAGATAATAAATTTTTGTTCTTTAAAGCCACCCACTTGTGGTATTATTTTGTTATGGCAGCACTAGGAAACTAAGACATGAATGTAACAAATGACCACTACTTATCTACAAAGAAGTCAAGCTAAAACAATATAAATTTCTCTTTGTGATAGTGTCACTAGAGTAGTAGGTCAGAAGGCTCCATGGGACACTTCTTTATAATATCTCTGAGAGTGAGAGAAAATTGTGAATGAGTGTATGGGGAGAGTGTTATTATTACCTAGTTATTTGAATAGTGCTATCCCAAAAATGTTCATTAATATATCCATTTTAACCAAAAAGAACCTGTCATCTTAGAGTATTTGAAATAGGTGCCATCTTACTTGACATTTTTGAAGACTTAGTAGGCCAATGATTCATTTTGCAAATGCTGTAATGCTCTGCCAATCAGAAAATCAGGATTTAGAGAAATCATGTAATGGAGTTCTTAAGCAAAATTGTCACATAGAACTTGCTAGAAATTATATCTCTATTTAGATTGTTTTTTAACTTATACTGTAAAACCTGTGAAAGCCAGAACCAATGTAAGGCAGAATCCTGTCAGAGAAGGAAAACTCAAATATTTTCCACAAAAAGGAGCAATAGAAATTTGGTAAGACTGCACCCTGTCAATGGCAGAAAACTTGCGAGACCCAGAAAAACAAGGCAGTATCATTGAGTTCCAGCTCGCACAGGTTTAACTGTATAAGCTATGGCTATGAAGTCATAGGAGCCCTGGTGGCGCAGTGGTTAAGAGCTCAGCTGCTAACCAAAAGGTCAGCAGTTTGAATCCACCAGCTGCTCCTTGGAAACCCCATGGGGCAGTTCTACCCCATCCTGTAGGGTTGCTGTGAGTTGGAATCTACTCAAGGGCAATGGGTTTGGTTTTTGGTTTATGAAGTCATAGAAATTCATGTAAAAGAGACCTGGAGATTATAAGCATTCAGATAGGCCAAAATTATAACTTGGCTAAAAATAAACTACATTTAATCTCATCCTACAATGCCAGAAACGTATGAACCAGATAATAAATTCCCAATGTACTTGGCACTGGCCAGGTTAGACGAAGTGTTGTGTCCAGTTCTGGAGACCACATTTTAAAAGCCGTTGACATACAAGAGAACATGCAGAGGAGGGTGTCACATGAAAGCTTGCCACGTGCAGACCAGTCAGGAAAATGAAGGATAAAGAACTGGAGAAAAGGGACATGGTTTACATGGTTTGCTCCAGAAAACAAGGATAGTGGATGCATGTAGATTTTAGTCTCCATTCACTCACCCTTTATGCCTCTTCCCACTGCAGTCTGGCTCCTGTTCCTACCACTCCACACACACTGCTCTCCTCAGAGTCAAAGTGATCTCCAAGGCACACTTCTCAACTCTTACCCTTCTTGACATCTGGGGAGCAGCTCACCATGTGGCTTGCTGTCACCTTCTATTACACTCTCTTCATTTGGCTTCCATGAAATAACACCCTCCTAGTTTTCTCTGACACCTCGGGGTTTCTCACTCAGTGTCCTTTCTAAGCTTCTTTTCTTCTCCCTGTCCTTTAAATGTTACTGTTCCCCAGGGCTCTGTCCCACTTCTCACCGCACCATGATCCCTGGTGACCTAACAGATTCTCTGGGCTCCTTGTACCATCTCTGTACTGATGTATCCCAAATCCTTCAGCTTTTATATTCAGCTACCTATTAGAAATCTCCTCTTCTTTGTGGAGACTCAGAATAAAAATAAAACAGTTAAATCAAGTTTTGAAATGCAGAAGAATCTTTAAGGTTGATTTCTCTTAATCGTATGGGTAATATTGCTTTACTCCTTTAAGCAAATGACTCTTTTTTTTCTCATTAAATATTTTATTTCCAAATTTGATGCACTTTGTTTTGCCCAGAGGAAGAAATAACAAGGGATAAACTTACTTCCCAGTGGGATCTTTACCAACTCCCACCTCTCAGCAAAGTTGGGCACAGTGTCCGACCAGCATCTAATCAAGTCCTTTCATACTTTTAGTTTTATTAATCCAAAATAACTAAGGCCTGGCTGCAGTAACGGTCATTCAATTGGGACTTGGCTAAGTCACTTAAAAAAAAAACAAAAACTTTAACTAGAAGTTATTACAATCATGGAAACTAAATTCTGTGTTTGCTGCTTTATTCTCCTTAGATGGTTATTTGTGTTTTTAAAATTTCCATTGTAGACCAGCCGCTGTAGCTACTGCTCTGGTCTTGCCCCTTGGCTTACAGAGATGGAAAAAAATCTCCTCCCTTTAGGCAACTCAAGTTCTTTGGAAGGCTTTAGTGAACTTCTGGTTCTTGTTCCGTATTTTTGCAGCTTTGTCCATCAGTGTTGCGTAAGAGAAATGGTATGCTCATAACATGACAGATGCATCATCGATGGAGGGCTCCTAATATTCTGCTCTGCAGTTGTTGGAACAAGTTTTTGTTTTGTTGTTTTTTTACAATTTTCGAAGGCCTCCAAAAATTACCTGACAGGCCTTTTTTGTTATCATTCCATCCTCAAGTGAGTCCAAAGAATTGGAATTTAGTCCCTGAAAGTGTTGTTTAATCTCATTTCCTGCCCCACCTTTTCTGCCAAGGCCTCCTTTAAAGTTCAGTTCAAAAGCTTCCTCCTTTCTGTAGCTTTCCTCACTGTACATTTTCAAATCACTAGTATAGTACCTAGCATATTGTTATACATGCAATATTCTGCAAGGTCAAGAGTCCTATTTTGGTTTGTCCTCAAAGTTGTAGAATTGCACTGAATGTGTAGGCATTATACAAAAAGATCAGTTTGGAATTCAGTTATTTCTCAATAATTAATTATCATCAGACTGATGTTAAAATGTAGCTATAATATTCAACTTAACCTGAACTTAACTGAGCTCTTGTAAGGTCCTAACTGTATAATAAGTGCCTGGTTATATAATTAGTAGGAGATAATTCACAGCTCCCAAAAGCCCACAGTCCAGCAGGGCATGTTGACACAATCACAATTGGCCACAACATAACGTGATAAACTGCTGTTTCATGGTGTGAACAAGGGGCTTTGAAAACAACTTTTCCAATTTTGCTAAAAAATGAACAACGCCTCATCACGTGAAGAAAAGGATGGATACTCCAGGCAAATAGAAAGAGACAAGCATGGAAGAAGCTTGAGAACACCATTTGAACTCTAGATCAAAGAAAGTGAACTTTAAAACCATTGCCAAAGACCTGATCTATGAGAAATAATAAAGTATTTCAGACTAAAAGGTAACCTGAATCCAGAGGAGCAAATGAAGCACACTGGAAATGGTTAGTATGGGGGTTAATATAAAATACCCTATACATTATATATATTTTTCTTCTCTTAATTTCTTTTAAAACATAAGATCAAGTAAAAATAGTTTTAAAAAATTGACAAGTTAATGGTTATAAGTCTATGTTGTGTCTTATTTTCTTTGAATACCAATAAATTTAAGTTCCTAGTGGACAAACTTTGTGTCTTCTGTTTCTATAATGTACTTTTCTAAATATAAAGCAGTATTTTTTAACAAAAAAAATCCCTCAAAAACGAGGGATCATTCTTTTATTCAGGACTTCACAAAACCTCTCGAAATATGGGATGTTTTCCTTTCTTTGCTTTGAAAAACAAGTGCTATTTGGAAAAGATATGTTAACTAACCTCAGACAACTGCAGCCAATGCTAGTTTCTTTACCAGTTCTTGACAGAATTGGTAAAAGAGGGTTAAGAAATTTTTACAAGGATAAAGTATTATTTCTTGGGAGTATGACCTCAAAATTGCAAGTGCTGAAATTTAGAAGTCATTGTAAACAAGATTTGTAAAAAGCACTTATCATCTCTCAAAAGAAATATAGTAAGTCATTATGTTGTGGATCATTGGGATAGGTGGAAAAATATTTCAATGTTATAAGAGAGGGACCTGTCATTTCAGAAAATATTTCCAGTGAAAATATCATACATGGACTCACAAAGTTAAATAAGTGCCTAACTTTTCAGTCTATAGTTCTAAAAGTTACACACTCAAGTTAACCAAAAAAAAAAAAAAAAAAAGCTTTTTAAAAACAAAGTATCTTATTGTGAAAACAGCAGATAACCTCACATTTTGAATTACCTTATATTGAAGCAATTTTTATCACATCATATTGCATATGGAGGGTTGGGTAAATGTTACTGGTTGTCATTATTATAACAAATAGAAACTTCCATTTTACAAAAAGAAAAATGAACAGAAATGAACTTAAATTAAAAAATAAAAACAGAATCAAAATCATGCTCCCTAATATCAGGCATATTAGGTACTGAGTGAAATTCAAGATACCTAAATATTTTCTGAGCTCTTATTTATAGAGAACAAACATAAAAACAACCAACAAATATAGAGGTTACCTTTTTATTTTTGTTTAAATTAAATAATATGAGGCCAATCACTCTGGAAATTACATTGAAACCTAAAACGCAGATCATTCTTTGTGTATATAATTTGGTAGATAAATATTCTTAATATTAAGATGGTGCAGTGAAAGAGGCATGAAACTTATGTGTTTAGTTACTGTGGGTGGTTGGCATAATATAGATGTGTGGGGTAGGGTTAGGGCTGCAATTCTAAAAAGCATAATGACTTCTAGCTTGGATTGTCTCCCTTAATTTGAAAACACAGTGATTTATTTAGCTTCAGAATACATACCTCTAAATAGTCTGTAGAGCAGTTTATGTGATTTTCTAGTTCAAATGCTGAAAACGTGTAGTTGACAGTGTTGCCACGTGTTGCTTGGATGGTCCAGTTGCAACGCTGATTGGCATAATAAGGATTTGGATAATGTATACTCTCCAAGATGCCGTAAGTTCGATTGACAATTACCACATTCTCACATACTGAAAAAATAACCATAATTGTTAAGAATAACTAGATTCTTAATTATACTTATATATCATATACATACATCATAATTGCTCCAAGATATATGTTGATTTTTCTTTTTAAAAAGGAAAAATCTAGATTTAAAAATGTATATATACACATGTGTGTGCATGTGTATATACATGTGTGTGCATATTTGTATGTGTGTACATACATATACATACATATATACATACGTACATATATAGTAAAACCTGCGAAAGCTGGAACCTAGGTAATGCAGAAACTGTCAGAGAAGGAAAACTCAGATATTTTCCACTAAAAGGACAATATAAAAGTGGTAAGACTGCATCCTGTCAAAGACGGAAAACTTGTGAGACCCGGAAAAACAAGGCAGTCCCATTGGGTTCCGGCTCTCATAGGTTTCACTGCATATATGGTACAGCATCTTCATAGTGAGAGTTTCCAGTTAGAACAAATGAGAAATAATACTTAAGCGAATTCATAAACTTTAAAATGTCATGAAAACTGAATGGCCATGTTAACATAGAATCAAATTCCTGTGAATTGGTGCAGAACAGAATAATTTAGCACTACTCACAGTTAATTTGATTTGTTTGTTCACAGAAGTGTATTAAACATTCTGTGCTTCTTTCTGTTTTTCTAAGCTTAACATTTGGAAGAGACAGAAATCCTGACCTTTAAATTTAACTGTTTAAAAACACAAAGTACTATGTGAATGCTAAATATGAATAACAACAAAGCTTTGTTGAATATTCAAAAGTCAGCATGAAACTCACAATAAAGTCTCCGTTATTCCTCTCACCAGCCATTAGGAAGTACCAAAGGAATAGAGGGAGTGTAAAGGATTTAAAGACGTGGAAATCTTAAATTCTGAAAAAGGCTTCAATCCAATACTAGCATTTTCTTGAGCTGAGTTTTCAACAAAACCACACTAACCAAAACCAAACCCATGGCTAGTTCTGGAAATAAATGCCAAATCCAGCCAAGCTTAATGACGTGAACAAAGCATATGTGTGCCTTTGCTCAATTCTTTTTCATATTGTCATTGTGATATGCAATGAGAAAATGGAAAAATAACATTATACTGAAAGAGTTGTCTCTGAACATCATGGTTCATAGATATATTTTTATTACAAAGCTACTTTGACAGGTGACTGAAATGCCATTAATAAACTTTGGTTGGAAAAGTCTACATTTGTGACGCTTCGAAATCTTTCTTTACTGGAACAGGAGAGATGCTGAAACCATTTGTCTTAGAAACTCTTTAGGTCACGGTTTTGTCCACAAAGAATTTCTAAAGATTGATTTCGTTGTTTTAGATGCCTGTGAGAAGTTATAGCTATTAGGCAGACAGATATCACGTGTCTCAATGACGAGGAGTATATTTGCAGAAAAAAGTAGACTCCGGGAGACCATATGGGCTGCTCTCAGTGCTCAGAAATAACATTATCTGCAAATCACCAATTTCAAATGACAAAGTTTACAGAAAATCTCACTAGTTAGCTATGATTTTACTTTTAAGGACCTATGTGCACTAATTTACTCC